CATATTTCTCTAAAATATTTTCTCTAAAACTTTCCATTCCTATCCTAGTGGCTAAGTACAGAATAAAAATAATGAGTCCATAAGTTAACAAAATGGTATTAACTGTATCTATTGTAAATTTATTTCCCCTCTGTTTGTGCTAGAGAGAAAGAAATAAAATCTGGAGGGTTATAGTGGGTACCTGTTCAAAAGGAATGTAAGTGATTTAGGAATAGAACTTAATAAATGAATCGGACAGTGAATAGCCATCTTATTTTCTGGTGATTTTTGCTAACCAAAATTTCCATCCTCATGTCTCCCACACTCCCTTTTTCTGTTTGTTTTAAGGAATGGCCAGAAGCAACGACCATAAAAGTGAGCTGTATTCGGGTAAATAAACTTTACTTTCATCATGTTCAGATATTTAATATAGCTTAATTTCATTAAGAGAATTTACACTTTTACAGTTTTTCAAATCTAACATCTGATGCCTCCTTAAAGTCAAAGCAAAGTGTTTGCCTTCCAAATTCATTCTAATGACATTTATGTGGATTAATTACATATACCCTCTAAAGTCTTTTCTAGACTGTAAATATTCATAGTTTGACGTGCATCATCTCATTTTATAGCATATATACAATTGTCTAATTATATAAACTCTGGTTGTGTGCATACGTGCATATTTAATATAGGCAGTAATATAATAACATCTGCTCCTGTGTTATATATTTTATTTTTAATTATTTTATTTTTGTTGTTATTGACAATATACATAGAAAAACATAACAGCAGTTCAGTTATTTAAGTTGTGCAACCATTCTCACCCTCCTTTTCTATTTCTCCCTCGTTAAGATATACTCACTGCCCCCTAAGTTTTGGTTGTTATTTTAGATGTTAAATTTCTAGAGTGTTAGAATAATGAAATTTCTCCGTTCCACAATGCTTCTTCGCTCAGTTGACTGCTAAATTTTTTGCCAGTGTAATAAAAGGAATGCTTAACCCTTGGACTTTGGGTACTTTTTGACATAAATTTTCCTTAGCTTTGAGTGCCCATTATGAATCTGGCCCCTCTGAGCTAACTCTTCTTGGTGTATACATATAGGATGATTTTAACTTTTCCTTGGTAAAGAAGGAGCCCTGGAAGCATAGTAGTTAAGTGCTTGGTTGCTAACCCAAAGGTCTGCAATTTGAATCCACCAGCTGCAAAAGATGCAGAGAAAGATGTGGCAGTTCTACTCTGTCCTGCAGGGTCACTCTGAGTAAAGAAGGGAAGTAGAGAATAAGCATAGTAAAATAATTTTCCTTTTTTTGTGCCTGCAGGGAAAGAAATGGAACTGGTATCTGAACTATTTATTTTCAGAGGAATTACAAGGCCTGCAACTTTTCCTAAAAAGTAATATTAGTTGTTCTCCTCTTCCCCTGATCAAACAACATGATCAACATTAAACATTGCCATAAACAAGCTGAGCATACTAAACTAAATTCCTTCCTTGTTGCTGTACTGGCCAAATGGCTCGACTTGAGTTTCCATATTGTTTTACTAACAGACTGCCATTCTCAAGGAATACTTGGACTGGAGCTTCCATCTATGGCTCAGGAGAGCCTTAGTGTGGTAACTTTATTTTTCAGAATTTAGATTTCTTAGCCTAGCAACGAAAGATCACCTCTTCGAAATCAGGCTTGCCTTCCATGAAATTATGCACATGGAGACACATCTGTTACGTGGTAGGATTTTTCATATTTTTGTGTACTGTGAGCTGTGTGGGTGAAGAGAACAGGTAATATAAATGGCAATCCATGGACATACACGTGCTAAATCAGTGAGACACTTGTGGGTATTGCCAGTTTTCTTCCTGTGAACAGTAGCACTAGCAACAAGTCAACATATGTAACTCTAAAAGCTGGCTCTGAGTTTATAATAGCTGCCTGGGCCTTTTTTGGTAGCAATTTGATGAATAGAGGAAAGGGGGTGATTGTGGGACAATCAGGACATTCCTGTTTTTACCATTTTGATTTCATGTTACTGCTATATTTTGTTTGTGAGTACACATTTGTGTATATGTCCAGTTTTTAAATGTTCAGGCCCAAATAAACTTAACTGTAAAGGGTAATTATGAAGCTTTCCTTTTATTCCAAAATAGCTAGAATATCTTGCTGAAAATCTACTATAAAATTCTGTTTCAGTGTACTGAATAAACCTTTCCCTTTATAATAAAATTCATATAATTTAGAGAAGCCTATTGGAATTTATTTCTGTCTTTGGGACACGTTGTGGTTCTTTCTTTCTTTCTTTCTTTTTCATAAGCAAAACAAAACCCAAAACTATATTATTGCATAGTTTTCAGACTATGTATCTCATTAATTTATTCAGTAAAACCACACTCACTGCCATCAAGTCGGATCTGACTCATAGCGACCCCTCCTCGGGTTTCTGAGGCGGTATCTCAACGGAAGTAGATTGCTCAAACTTCTTTCTGAGGAGTGCCTGGTGGGTTTGAACTGCCAGCCTTTTGGTTAGCAGTCAAATGCCTTAGGCACAGATATTTATTGAGCTCTTAATATGTGTAATATCGGTGGCATAGTGCCTAAGGCATTTGACTGCTGACCAGAAGGCTGGTGGTTCAAACCCACCAGCCGCTTCTCAGAAGGAAGACTGAGCAGTCTACATCTGTAGAGATACTGCCTTGGAAACCCAAGGAGGGGTCTCTAATTTGGATTCGATTCAACAGCAGTGAGTTTTGTTTTGTTTTTTTGATTCTGTGTGCTGGGAATGCAGGTGTGACCAATCTTAAGTACCTGCTTTTGTGGAGCTTATATTCCAGTGGAGGAAAAAAACAGACAATACATAAAAATGTAGCAATCTAAATATATAATATCAGATGCTATGAAAAAAGACTGGGAAATAACTAGGGACAAAATGTTGAAAAGGTTACTATTTAAGATGATCAAGTTGATGAGGAGATGACATAGACAGAGGCCCTAATGAAGTGAGAATGTGAGCCGTGTGAATATCAGGGCAAAAAGCATTCAGGGCAGAGGTAAAGGCAAGTGACCATAAAAAAAAAATAAATAAATAACTCATTGCTGTTAAGTTGATTCTGATTCATAGCAGCCCTATAGGACAGGGTAGAACTGCCCCACAGGGTTTGCAAAGCTGTAATCTTAACAGAAGCGCACTACCACATCTTTCTCTGCAGAGCGGTGATACTCAGTACTGTGTAATTATTTTTGATTCCCTGCATTTCCGGATCAACAGCTGTCTGAAAACTTCATTGTTGTTGTTGTTGTTATGTGCCGTCGAGTCAAACCTGACTCATAGCGACCCCTCCTTGGGTTTCCGAGGCAGTATCACTACGGAAGTAG